GAGCCAGCTGTACCCGCCCCCTCCCCTGTCCATTCCGCCAGTCAGCGCTGGCAGATCGGAGCGGGGAGAGGGGAATCCAGCCCCTCCCCCTGTCATGGCAGAGAGCCGTGACAGGATCGAGAGGTGAGCGAACGCCGGTATGTGTTCGCTCACCTCCCGATCTACTGAGCTGACCTGTGACAGTCTCATTGTCACAGGTCGGCTAGAACTATGAAGTGAGTGGAAATCACTCATCTCATAGTTCTCCTTTAAACACCTAAACCCCTGGTGCCCAACCATTGTACACCTACACCTCTGATGCCCAACTATTGTACACCAATTATAAACCTATTGTGTTCCTATTGAACACCTATCACCCTTTTGACAATTATTGTCCAGCACCCAGGATCCCTGCTGGTATTCTTCTACGTTTTGCTGAAACCCGTGAAGGTAAAATGTTCCTTAAACTGGCCTCTAGTAGTTAGATGGTTAAGTTTATCACTTTCACAATATCTTACTTTTTTCTGTGCTGTCCATTTCTATGCTATTTTTTGTTCTTTTCTAGTCATTTATATAATGCACCTTTCTGAGAAAAATATCAATTGTGGCACATTTCATTTTTAAGGGGGCGGTAGTTAGCACGAATGTTAAAGCACTGATTTGAAAAAAGAGCATTGATCTCTATGACTCTCATGTAATGTGTCTCCAGTCTACGACTCACACTTTGTTTGCCTGAAGAAGGAACCTGTACGGTTCCGAAACGTTGCTATACGATGTGACAATTCAAAGAACATAATGACTAAAATTCTTATTGGAGTGCTAGTGACTTTTCTACCACATGATACTGATCTGCAGAGGCACCTGCTGTCATCTCAGCACCCACCCATTATTTTGGGTTATATCTGGTCAGGAGTGCAATGGGATCTACTTGAATTACTTTCAGTCTATGACTGTCTCCAGAGGCATGTACCTGGGCTCTGGCAACTCCCAGAGCATGTGTGCAGTCTCTGACCATCTCTTGTAGTATGTCTGTAGTCTCTGACCATCTCCTGTAGCATGTCTGCTGCCTTTGACAGCTTTCTGTAGCATTGTGAATATTATGCGCACCAGTTCGGTACTGTGCACTTGAGGCCCCAAGTGTCAATTAAGTTGAATTGCAGCTTTACCAAATTGCTTTCATAGTAAAAAGTGGACAAACTACTAAACTGATAGGTCTTGTGCACCCAGGCTTCCGCTTGTATAAATCAAAGAGCAGTGTGTACAGCAAGCTTGCAAAGCATTTGAAAGCCAGCTTCAAACAACTTTTATGCCGGTAATTTTATTATTTTTCAGCTTCCTTTCACTGACCAAGCTGTCCAGCAAAAGTGGCAAATAGAGGGTTGAGACAAACCATTTAACACTGACATTTTTTATATTTTTATTAAGATTTTGTCAAAGAACAAAGGAAATCAGTACATACACTGCTCATAATGCAGGGCTGATGGATAATCCCAGAAAAGGAATAACATATTGTTTACGGTATCGAAAAACATACAGATAAATGAATGAGGGCTGGTGGATCATAGGAGTGCATGATAGGCAACTAATGAGTCGCACTTCAGCAAAGAAATTTTAAACAGTTGCATTAGGGAGGGATAAGCCACTCATGTAACACACAAAAAAGAAGAGAAAAAAAGGAAGGAAGGGGTGGGGGATGGGAGGAGAGTAGGGAAGGAGAAAGAGAGATATATGTGGTTCCGGCTGCAGAGCAATCCCGAAAAAATTCTGGTGTGATGTGGTGTGGAGTGGCGAGGACGGTGGTGTCTCAAAGTGTTAACAGACAGCGATTGATGCCCGGGGTAGGTATCGCAAGATCCATGGTTCCCATATCTTCTGGATCTGACATCTTTGCAGAGAGTTTTTCATTGGATAACAGCAAGGATGCAAGATTTTACCGCTGCAAAAGAGAGAGAAGGGGAGTTCCAGGATCTTGTGATAACAAGCTTAGTCGCAGTTAAGATATGAGTCATCAGAGCAAACTCGTGTTTAGGAAGAGCGGCAGGTCTCAAGTTCAGCAATGCTTCGGCAGGGGACATGGGAAGGGAAGAAAGCAATAGGAGATGTAGCAGGCCGTAAACCTTGCAACAGAGCCGTTTATGTAAAACCTTGATCTCAATAGAAAAATAACTGCTTAAAAAAGGTTAGATGGAGTGCAGATTTAATTTGTTACTCAAGTCCATCTAGATCTTCTAGTATATCTAACACTACCTTCCCTGCAGGGTGACAATGATCCAAGGGTGGCTTACTGCTCCTTTATAGAGTGTAGTCAACCTAAGACAGGAAGTGTGTTAATGGCCAGATTAGCAGGTGACAATAAAAGAAACAAAGCCAAAAAAAAGAAGACTAATGCATCTACCATATTTAGGGATTGGTGATATACTGTATTACATATGTTTTTGGATTTAGATACATTTTAAGCACGCTGAAGCCCACATGTATAAGGCCTAATGGATACATTGATAACAAAATAAAGCAATAATTGATTAATTAAACATAAGTGACATCTCTGGATTGTTGTTAGCAGTCATTAAGCTGTCCCTGGTAATTACTGTCCAAACATGCCCTTTGTGACATCTTGAGACAAGATCATGTGTCTTTTTTAAGAAAACAGTTCCACAGGATTGCATTCCAAAAGTCAGGAGCTTTATAGTAAGGTAGGAGATTCACCTAAGCGATTATTTTGCTTTTCTATGTTTTAAGACATGCTGCCATAACACATTTTCCCCCACGATAGGTGCTTAATCATAAAGCCATATGATTTTTAAAGTAGAGAAAACAGGAATCTGTACAGCAAAAATGTATGCTGTGCCAAGCTCTTGCCGATTGTCTACCATTATGCAAAAAAAAATAACCCCAAAAACAGTCAGATTTAAATCTCATATCTCAGCCAGGCTATGGTTATAATTTGTCCTCATTTCCAGGGGCGGACTCGGTTTAGAGTGCAGGAGTGCATATGCGGCGCCAGGCACCAGGTCCACAGGGTGTCCCAGGTTCCTGCGTCAGGATCACCCTTTTGTTCTTTTTAATTTGCGGTTTTCCATTTGCACTGCAGTCGCTCAGATATCAGATACAGCAGCTGTGTGCAGAGCTGAGAAGAGCTCCCCTAAGTGACAGTGTCACATGCAACAGCCGAGGGGAGGACTTCCCTGCTTAATGTGCCCTGCTGTTGTGTCTGAGGTTTGGTAAGTTTACTTCTGTGGTCTCTACTAGGGAGAAGGGTGGGGAAGAGAGGTTTGTACTGGAAAGTGTGTGTGGGGGCCAGTCCTGGGGAGGAAGGGGTCATTGTCAGTATTGGGTGGGGGTAGAAGTCTGTATTGGGGGGAGGAGTTCTGTTCAGGCAGGTATTTGGAGTGAAGTCTGTATTGGGGGGGATTTCAGGGATGAGATCTGTACATGGGGGAGGTCTGTGCTGGTGGGTGGAATTGTACTGGGAAGAGGGGGTAGTTTTTGGTTCTACTGTGTACACTGGCCTGTACATTACTTATTCCTGATGTATTCCTCACCCCTACATGCTGTGTTACACACTTCTGATCCTGCACTCCATGCATTATGTATGCCTAACTCGATGCAGCCTCTGTGTTGCACACTCCTGGCACCTGTACTCCATTCATTTCCTTCTCCTGATCCCTGTACTCCACATGTTATTTACTCTTGACCCCCTGTACTGCATATGTTATTTGCTTCTAACCCATGCATTTTTTTTCATCCCATGCATTACCTACTCCCGACCCCTGCACTCTGTGTGTTACATAATCCTGATCCATGCTCCCTGCACCACACACTGACCTCTGTGTTCTGCATTACACACTTCTGACCCCTGCACTCTGTGCATTATGCATTACTCTTGACACCTACTGTGTGTTACGCATTCTTGACCCAAAGCTAAGTAGGCTAAGGTGTTAATCAACCATACCCTTCATACGCTTCCACTGTTAATGCAGTTTGGCTGCATGCACGTTTCATTGCGGCACACTGTGCATGCCACATTATTTCACTACTCATAGTGCCCAGGGCATTTTGTCCTTACACCTTCAATGTCTGTTTCTTCTTCCAGAAGTCTGTGACTAATTGTTTCAGGGCATGCTAAAAATGGGGGCGTGGTTTTGTGGGTGTGACCACAAATGGGTGGTTTTGTGAGTGTGGTTAAAAGACATGCTCAGTATGGTGTCCCTGTATTTCATTTTGAAAATCTGGTAACCTTAAGCTGAGCATTCATGGAAGGTGACACATTTGATGAAACATAGCTCAGCTTAAGACACATTTGAAAAAGCAGAGATATAATAAACCTCCACTAACTAGGACCTGCAAAGGACTTTGTATAAAGCCCTGCCATAAATGGCCCTGTTGTATATAGTATGGTATGCAGCTATGCAATACAAATTGTATTGCATGTAATCTCAACATTGAACCAAAAGAAACTGGACTCTGCTTAAGTATTTTCCACTTTTAAAACCCTTTTATTTTTCTGTTGTTTAAGCCTGTTTTCTAATATACTTTCTGTAAATATTTACTGAACCATTTTGTTTTCTTTTTATTAAAACAATACATTAAAAATGCTAAGCTGAATCTTCCAATTACGAATAAGAACATTTGCCTCTGTGAAGAACTTACCAAAATGTAAACTCTGATACATTCCTGTCTGGACATGGCAGCGAGTGATACAGACTTTTTATTGAAGGTCAGAATTGCAATAGTGGAAGCTGTAAACAGTACATGCTTTCATTTACGCACGTGGCGATGACTACCACATGTGTGTGTGTAAAGGGTTGACTGCTTAGTCTGATGGTGCTTACAATCTCGGCACAGGGTAAAGCTGAGAGCATAATTGTCACCAGGAGAGCAACTAAGAGTATGAAAACCTTATTTCCACTTTACTGGTACCCTATTATTTTAACTGATCAAGTAACTCAAGAAAGGTTTGGATGATTACTGATGTTGTAGAAAGCTATCTTTACGGGACGTTTATTTTTATTTCCATGCAGAAATCGTTCCCCGAGACCTTCGGATGAAAGAAAAATTTTTAAAGCATTTAACAGGTAAGTTGTTATTATATATTTACATTGCTAAAAAGAAAAAACATAAGAAACCTAACCAGTTAAAGCAGAAATCCGGGTAAAATGTTTAGCCTCTTAGCTAAAATATGAGAACCATGAAGCTTAAAGCAGAACTTCGGGTAAAATTTTTGTTAAGCTAGCCCCACTGCAAGGGTCCAGTGCTCGTTTGTGTCTAAAAAATAACAAAGGTATATGCACCCGATCCTCCGAGCCGGCTGTGACATTGCTCCCTTTTGTCTTTCATCTCCTCAACTGAAGTGATTGTATGTCCCTCAGCATTCTCACGTCCTATACACTGTGCATATGACTCAGGGACCTTAGACCACTGCAGTGAAGGGGGAGTGAGGTCTAAGGTCTAAGAAAAAGCCAGCTCTGAGGATCGGGTGGGTATAAATCAGAAAAGATGTCAAGCTGGCATGGCCTCCCACTGTTAGCATTTTAGGCAATTTTTGTAATCTGACCATAATTCTAACAGTGTATGGCCAGCCTTAGAGTGCAGATTAGGCATACAACCTCCACTGTCCCACAATGTAGTGCTCCCACAATGTAATACCCAATGGCTCTATGAGCAGGGCCAGGCACTGACATGTAAGACGGTATATCAATATAATCATATGCAAAGGGCAACTTGGAGCAAATTGCTATCCGCATATCAGTGTCAAGAGGCTCTGAGAAGCACTAAAGTAAAACTTTCTGGTGCAGGCACATACTCATAGCTTATGCTGTCAGCCACCTGTTGTTGCTTTTAGCTTTGTTGTTTTGATTTAGTCATGGGTTTACTTTAAGTTGTAGCCATGATAGATTGTTTTGGCACAGCGATATAATATCTGATCCAGTCCACCTTTTCCATGTATTTGAGCTGCTGCCCTGCTATCTGTAGGAAGACATCTGTGCACATCAAACCTCCTTCCATTCTCAAAACTCACAAATTCCCTTTCATTCAACATTAATGTTATGGTTTTTCATTTCAGGTCGACTTTCCTTCACAAGTCCAAATTGCAATAAACATTTTCGGAGGCTTTACAACAGCACAAGAGATTGCACAATTCCAGCCCGTAAGTAAGAAATTGCTCTGCTTGTCTCTGAGAAGTAAACATTCACTTGTAAAGTCCATTTATGTTAAAGAGCTGCTAAAAGTTCTCGCAGAGATAAGGAAAGAAGCAGCAATCTGAATTGCCTGATGCAGCCCTAACCGTATTTGCCAAAAATGAGATTGTAGTGGTCATGACTACTTCTACGCCCCCGGTAGTCCGATGATAGACAAAACCAGATATTTAAAGCAGTGACTTTTGTGTTTGTCATATCGGTGGCCTCCCGGGTGATTGGAACCCGCAGAGTTCTATATCTAGCTTTGGTTAAACTACTGCACAAAGACACTGAATGTCCAAATTTACATTTGGTTTTAATAATTTTTACTCAAAACATAACATGACTGAGCTATACATGGTGAAAAGAAATGAAGTAGTAATTGTACAGCATCACAGCAGGGAGCTGGCTTCTAAGACCACATAGGATAAAGAATTTAGATGTCAGTCTACTATGTAGCTACAGGGGATATAGAGGGTTCAGATGCATCTGAGCCCATGAAGCCCAACTATGATGGCTGTTTCTCGTTAAGTACCAATTTGATAATCACATTACATTCTATTAGGGATGAGCCTGAGCTTGGTATGAACCCAATCTGCCTGAGTTCACCCAAGCCCACTCAAAACTACAGCACATTACAGCAGTAACACAGACTGCAACAGTGATTGACGTTGTGCCTATCTCAGCTAACATAGCTTTACCTAAATATCAGCACTAGAACAGTAGACCAGATACTGTGTGCTACACATATGTTCATTCCAGATCACACTGCATAGCATAAATCTCTAATCTGAGCTCCCTTACCATATTTCTTACTGTTGCTGTCCAAGTGAATAATACAGCACACTTTATTATCTTTTAATATAATACGAGCACATGTCAGTTCAACATACTGAGAAACAACACTGCATTCCCACATAAAAAGCAACACAACAATATACATCATTTCTCATCCATATGAAAGGAGATACTGTTCCATGTGTTTGCACGCTAGATCCCACTGCACAGATAATTCTCTGCACAACATACCAGCTTATGCAGAGGAATTCCTGAGTCCTAAAGTGTGCACAAAGAGGGGAGTGGGCTCCAGTGGCAACACTTCCTCATCCTGATGAAACTGGCTCCTGAAGCTATGTGCACCACAGAGGATGCAGCTTCTGTGATTGACACCCCTTTTAACCCAGGGAGTGTGCCTATGACACTCATTGGCTCTTGCGGGAGGCTCAGTGTCACACAGACAGGAAATGTGCCTGCTGTAATGTCCTTTATTGAAAAACGAGAAGCACACAATAGGGAGGGAGGGAGTTGAAATTGAAGTGGTATACTTTCCACCAAGCACCAGAGGCAGAAGCAAATGGGACAGGAATGCTGCATTTTGAGCTCCAGGAATTTTCTTTTTTTTTTAAACGTACAGCGTGGCTACATCTAATTCTACCCAGAGGGCCACTGGAGATGAAATTCTCTC